TAAATATCGTAAAATAATTTCTAAATATTGTTTCCTAGAAAATGCAATTCATATTACAAAAAACATTTTCCTAAAAATATTTTTAGTGAAACAAACAAATCTTTAATTCTTTGATTCAATTCTATTTCAACAACATTTACTATTTTTAATTCTTTTATCCAAACTGAGCTTATGATTTATTCCACTTTTTAGAAAACTATAAATTATTTAATTATTATTTAAACTTTTTTCAAACATTAACTTAATAAAATTATTCAATTTTGTTTAAATTGTGATTTCTAAAATAGCAACACTTATTATTATGAATATGGAAGAAATGAAAAATGTTGGATTATTACCAAACTGATTTGAAGTTTCCTTTTCCTACTACTTTTCATTTTAATTCCAACAAACCAAACATAACCTAAGAAAATTATTGAATTTGGAGAAAGAAAAAAATGATAAAGATTAAGACATAATAATTTGAATTGAAGTTTCCTCACTTTTTCCCTACAAAATTTCAATAAAAAGGACGCACGAATGTTCCCTTCAAAATAAACAAACCATGGAAAAAAAGTATATTGATTACAAAAATTTTACAAAAAAAAAGGTATGTAATCGATCTAAGTTGTACTTTTAGGGACCTACAAACACTACAACAAAATTATTCTATGGCGTTTTAACAACGTTTTAAGAATAAACACCACTAACTTTAAATATATAGCGGCGTATTCATTCAAAATGCCACAAAATGATAAATTTAGCGATATTTTTATACAAACGCCGTAACATAGAGTACTTTAGCGGCGTTTTTATACAAACTCCGCAATAGGGTTCATTTATAGTGGTGTAGTTACAACAAACACCGCAATAAATAAGTACTTTAGCAGTGTTTTATATAAACGTCACAACAGAATAGTATTTTAGTGACGTTTTTGCAACTATATGACTGAATAAACACCGCTAAAAACTATTTTGTTGTGAAATATTTTGCTTCAAATTTTCTTTTTCAAAACATCACATTACCCTAAATCCCATATCTCGCGTGCTTCAAATTTCCTCCTTTTTTTTTCTCATTTACCTCTACTAATACTACGTCTAATTTGATTTTATAGGTTAACTAGAAATTGCCGAATCCAGAATATATATATATATATATAAATTCTTTTATAAAATATTGAATAATATTTTAAAATTAATTTTATCATTTAAGTTTATTGAATGATGATTATTTTTTTTTTGTATGTTATTTCAAGGGTTCAAAGCATATACAAAATCGATTAACTTCCGCGATTAAGATGCAGGTCTTCTCCAAATTTAATGGGGACTTCATGCAACTCTCTTCTCCATTTGAGCATGAGGGCACTCCACGTGACCTATTATCTTCCGACTCGCTACACTCTTCAATGGACAATGTAGTGTTACTACAGAACACAAGAGCTGTATTTTCATGTGAAACAATATCCTTACTGGTGTGCTCCACCACACCATGAGAGCTTGTAGGTGAACCGAGCCGACATTTGGAGGTGTATTTTCATGTGAAACAATATCTTTACTTCTCTGTCTGACTCAATTGGAGGTGTCTCGTCGATGAACAATCTATCCTCGACAAATTCCTCAGTACTTATCCTCATTCTGTGGTCATTCCCATACACTAGGATAGATACACTACTAGGGATTGCAGATACCTTTTGGACTGATAGAAACACCTTTGCTCGATCGAAGCGTTTTAAGTTTAACGTATCCTCTTCTACCAACAGAACCTCACCCCACCTTCCAGTTAATTCCTCGAAGAAAGTTCTATCCCACACTAATAGAGGAACATCTTCCAGCAACCTAGGTGTTTAGTCTCCTTTTACCCTCAAATCCTTCTAGCAATTCATCAAATCATTTGTTGAGCATGGCGTCTCTATTGGTCCAAAACTGCTGTCGACCTTCGACGGATTGGAAACGGAGCACCACAAATAGACCAAACCATGGGCAAACCTTAACATTGACCCCATCAGAATCCAACATCTCTTGGACCTTCTCAATACTATACATCGATTTTATTCTCCCAACTAAGCAATCTTCCCTCCAACCTACTTTTGATGATGGAAGGCTAATAGCACTTCTTGATGACGAGCCTGGAACATCTTGTGCGCTTTCGTTAACTACAACAGCCTCAATTACTTTGTCGCTACCCTCTACTCTAACGTTCGACCCTGATTTGTTAGCTGAAACTGGTTGTTGCGCTTTTTGTATCACCTTGGGCTTAGCAATTAAAACCTCCCTAAAAGACCTGCTGTCACTTCGTGGTGGTTTGAATGACTTTTGCCTTCCATGATGATACGTGTTTTGGGAAAACTTCCAAAGCTGTTTTTTGGAAGGTAAACTTTGATATAGAAACCGTCCTTTTTCCTTCCATTTCCGTTTGAAACTGCCTGTTTGGCTTCATCCATAGAGCTAAATCTGATAAACGCAAATGTGGTTGGCTTTTCCTTCCTTTTTGCGCTGTTGAGAGCGATAAACATGTCAAGGACTCGCCCATAAACCTGGAAAGCTTCCTTCAGCGAACTATAATGGATTCTCTTACACACGTTAACCAAAAAAACCGAGAAACCTTGGCGACGGCGATGAACGACCTCCGGTGACTTGAACCCTTGAGAGACGTAACAACTTCCTTTTGACGCTTCCGCTACCATCCTTTCGATATTTGAACACCAACCATTCAATGATGATTATTTATTTTCTTCTCATCGTTCATTTTAGATTTTGAAATTCAGATTCAATCGGTTTTAAATGTTTATCTATTTTTAGTTTATATTGAAAGTCAAATTTAATCAAATAAACTATTTAATGCAATATTCGATGTAGATCATTTTTTGTTAGATTTTTTAATTTTGACATTAAATAAGTAAAACATTTGAATGGAATATGAAAACGATTTGTTTTTTTTTAAATGTAATAATCATGATTTGTTATTCAAAGTACTGTTAACAAATTTTCAAATTAACATTAAAATCTCAAAACAAAATTGAATTACGATCCACCAAATATTATGTTATGATTTCATTTTTATCTAAATAATATGTTTCGAATCAATTTTTAAAAAATTGACTTCAAAAAATTGCTTTATTTATGTATTAATTGTACCGTATTTTATTGCGTAATCTACATGGTGGCTACTTAACTATTGTCTCCTTTTTATTTTAACCATTGACATTTCAATTTTATCAATCAGACCGCTTAATTATTTAAATGCTTCAATAAGAGCATTGGTCATTACCTTTTAACGGAGGAGAGACATTACAATATTTGGTATAGTTAGATATTTAATTGCACTATATAAATTACTTTTCATTGATCTCATGTACATATCTCTCTAGAAAACGAAAAATATGTAACAGATAAAAAAATAGTAAATAAAAGAGTATAGCTATTAATTAGAAAATGTTTAATCCTCTTTTAATTGAACTTTACACAATAAATAATCAATTAGTCATCGTTTTAATCAATTAGTAAATATGAGGGCTTTAAATATGATTAAAATTACATCAAATGTTGTAAGAAAATAAATAGTTAAAGGAATCGTTTATATTTTTAGAGGTCATGGGTTCGAGCACCAGCGGTTCCAGCAAAGTGATTGGACGTTCATTATCAAATAGTTGAAAGTATTTAAAACAGATAATATTTTATAATCACCTTATTTTAATAAAAAAAATTAGGCTGAATTAGTTTTTTTATTGACTTCAAGTCGGATTGTGGCCTTAACTACTTTTATTTAATAAAAGAAATTTTACTTAAATTTAATTATAAATTATTAATATAAAAAATAATATTATTTTAAACTATGATATGAACTTTTGACTCTAATCAAAAGAGTGTTTAGGTGAAATTTATTAATTGATCAAGTGAATGTCCATATTATTTCAATTTATGTGTGTTTAAATTTTAATATTAATTTTTTAAAATTATAATACATCTTTACATAATAAAAAAATAATTAGGTGAGGGAAAAAAACGTTTTTGGGTATGATTCAAACCATGAATATATTTAAAATATATATATATATATATATATTATATAAAAATATATATATTTTATATAAAAATATACATTTTAAGGACAGGGCTAAAGAAGGAAATGTCAATTATAGAAAAATTGAAAAAATAGTATAATGGAGAAGGAAAATTCTAGAATGCACGTTGTTTACTGTAATTCGTCACTAATTTTATAGAGTAAAATTTACAAATGGTCATTAAACTATATCAAAATTATCCTTTTGAACATTTGGCTTCTAAAAGTTACATAATGAATAATAAATTTTAATTTTGTTACAAAATGGACACAAAACCGTTAAAAAATATCTCATTTTATCCTTCAATTATAACTTCAATTTAATTTTACTCTTAATTTTAATTGAAATAATTATTATTAGGTTCGTTGAATTGAAAATAAAATAGATAAAATAAATATCATTTTTTAATTTTATATTATAAATATTAATTTGTACCATATAAATTAAAAAGGCATAATGCAAGCAAATACCCCTAATGTTTGACAGCATTGTCAAATTTACCCATATAATTTTTTTAGAACATTTGACCCCCAAACGTTTCATTATAGGTTAAAAAGAACCTTAGTTGGATGGAATCTGTTAGTCAACTAACGGTCAACACATGGTGCTGACCAAGCAAGAACACGTAGACTCAGATGTTGATGGGGAATGTCCAGGTCATGATAGATGATGAGGTGGCTTTGCCACGTCATATTTTTAAATAAAAATCAAAATATGATTCTTAATATTTATATATTTTTATTTAATACTTTTTATCTAATGAGATGATGACACATGTTAACATGAACCTCGGCCAATTGCCTGGAACCCATCACTTAGCCACCAAGTCAAATCTTTCATTTGTTTATCTTTTGCATTACAAAATATTTAACATATACATTATGTCTCTCACACATTTTATTAAACACCTTCTTCATCCCTCTTGACATGCAATTTCTTCTCCCTCTTGACTACATGATTTTACACGTAAAAGATTTTGAGTGTGTTCTTTTTCATTTTTCTTATCCTTTTCGAAGTAATGGTCACCAATGCATAAACTACAACGCTAGTAAAGTAAATATAACAGATAACAACAATGTAATACTGCCTGAACAGAGTGAGCTTCATCAAATTCACCGCAGCTTTCCCATCGGTCTTAGCCGCCTCTCGCAAGTTCTTAATCGACCAAACGATGGGGAACAACACCGCACAACAACATATGACATAGAAGAGCAAGAACACCCGTTTCCACACCACCCAATCGTGGCCAAATGGTCTAGTAGTGTGTTCTTTTCATTTTCTTATCCTTTTCGAAGTATGGTCACCAATGCATAAACTACAAACGCTAGTAAAGTATATAACAGATAACAACAATGTAATACTGCCTGAACAGAGTGAGCTTCATCAAATTCACCGCAGCTTCCCATCGGTCTTAGCCGCCTCTCGCAAGTTCTTAATCGACCAAACGATGGGGAACAACACCGCACAACAACATATGACATAGAAGAGCAAGAACACCCGTTTCCACACCACCCAATCGTGGCCAAATGGTCTAGTTTCATCGATGACAATCTGGGCAACATTAGCAACAACTTGAAGTGGAATCACGATCATCAAGACCTTCTTTTCCTTATCCTGCAAGTAAGGTTTCAAAAAAGACCACCCAGTACTGATCAAAACGATCAACGTGAAAAGCGTCACCCCTTTCAAGAAACTGAATACGTAAAACAAAACATACCAACCATGAGCGCTTCCTGTTCGTTTAATATAAGACTTATCCTCAGCTTCACATAACAAATTGACTGCTTTTAGAATAACCACGGCCAGCATGAAGAAGTGGATCCTGAAAACGGTGAGTCGTTTTATTTAAAGCACGTAGCCCCAAATCCCAGCCAGAACGAAATAAACGAGGGCGAGGAGGAAGTAAACCCTAAGGAGAATCGTTTTTCCGGCGGAGAGATAATCGCGCGGGTTTACCCGTATACTCATCATTAAATCGAGTTTCATAAATGGCTTCTTTGCCCGAGTGAGAGAGTTATTCCAAGGGCACGACAACTTGATTTCTGGTATTGCAATCAACCATTCAAACATATAGAAAACCAAAAAAGAATGAAATGGGGTTTCGAACCGTATAGAATATGCAATCATGGTCGCTAACAATCAAAGCTTTGTGAAAACCCATCTTGATGGTGAAGATTGGCCCGTATTTATCAGCCATTTCGCTGAGGATTATGTGGGCTGGTTTGGGTCCTCTTAGGAGGTGGAGATGGCCGATTACAGCCATGAATTTCCAGCTTCTATGCTTCCCCTTTTTTCTTCAAACCTTTAAAGTGTCTTGAATATCCATAAACGAGGAAAGAAAGATTATTGAAGCGAAAATGGTTGAAGTTAATGAAAGTGAATGAAAAATATCCATCTCATAGGTGAGGTTCTGTTTCGAGAAATCTTTAAAGAAGGATTCAGTAATGGAAGCTAAAATTCTTCACTAGGGAGATTTAAGGTTTTGAACATGGAAGAGTGAAATGGATGGGGTGAAAACTAAAAAAATTTGAACTGGGGAATGGGGATGGAAAGAAACGAAGAAGATGGGTTTGAGAGAAGTGGGAACTGGAAAGAGCTGAGAAACTTCTCGGTCAAATAGTTATATTAAAAAAAAGGAAAATAGGAAAAAATATTTCATGCACCACTGATGAAAATTGGTTTTACAAGTTAGGTTCTAAATCTTCTAAACTTCTAATATTGTCATATATTTTATTTAAGATTTATGAGTTAGAATTTTAGAATTTAAGGTTTATATTTTAGAGTTTAAAGGTTATAGATCGGAGTTTAGAGTTCTTAAATAGGACACACAATAACATTAAAGTTGAAAATTTTCCCTGTTAAATTTTATATATTCAGTCCAAACTTAAAAAAAATAAAATTATTAAAAATCATATGTCATTGTTAATTAATTATCTTATCCTATCATCGGATTTTTAAAAGTCTTCTATTTGGTTAAACTATATTATATATATGTCAATTTCGCTCAGAAAACATTTTAAAAAATCTTTAAAAATGATTCCTTATAATTATAATTATTTTTATTATGTTTTAAGATAAGTTGTGCAAAATTTAAAAAAATTCACAAACCGCGATACCCGCAATGAACGCGATGGCATTCATTATATCCGCAACAGCGATAAACGCGACGCAAGCGAAAACGTGACTGCGAACACTATTTAAAACCCTGGGTCGGATCGAATTCATGTTTTGTTTCATCATTCATGCAGGATTAACGTAGTTGATGTCATTGCTCAAACGAAAGAGTTAGTGAAAGGACACACCAACTTGATCGATGGATTCAATACCTTTCAGCCAAAGAAAAATGAAATTAAAGTCGACAAGGTCATAGACGAAGCTCAAACGACAAAGATCTATTATGAAACACTCGATTTAATATGAGTATACGGGTAAAATACTAAAATACTCGAACTCATCGAATGGGAATTATGGGATGTTCATCTTGTTAGATCTCAGTCAATAGAATCTCAGCAAGAACGAAACGAACAAAAAGGGAGACAAAAAGGAGAAGTGCACAACATCAATGAATCGCATAAAATTATGTAGTTAAGAAAAATCTTTTACGTGTAAAATCACGTAGTTAAGTGGGATAAGAAATTGCATATCAAGAGGGGATGTAGAAGGTGCATGATAAAATGTGTGAGAGACATAATATATATGTTAAATATTTTGTAATGCAAAAGATAAACAAATGAAAGATTTGGCTTAGTGGTTAAGTGATGGCGTTCTAAGAAAATGGTCTGGGTTCAACTACATAAAAAAGTAGTTTTGCTTGTTTTAAATTAAACCAATATGGTGTTGACACATGTCATCATCTCATCGTCTCATTGGACAAAAAATATTAAATAAAATATATAAATATTAAAAATAATATTTTAATTTTTATTTAAAAATATGATGTGGCAGTGCCACGTCATCATCTATCATGACCTGGACATGCCCAATTAGCATCTGGGTCCACGCGTTCTTGCTTGGTTAGCACCATGTGTTGATCGTTAGTTGACTAATGGATTCCATCCAACGAAGGTTCTTTTTGTCCCATAATAAAATGTTTGGGGGTCAAATGTTCCAAAAAAGAACAATACGGGCAAATTTGACAATACTGTCAAACGTTAGGGGTGTTTGTTTGCATTATGCCAATTAAAAATTATTTGATATGATGTTATAAAATTATATATTTATGCTTTTTAAATTACATTCACTACAACAAAACTGTTTTGTAGTGGTGTTTGTAGAGTAAAACGCCACAAAAGTTAAACATATAGTAGTGTGTATAATCCAAACGCCACAAGTTGATAATTTAGCGGCTTTTTTGTACAAACGCTGCAATAGAGTAGACATATAGCGACGTTTTAACCAACAACACCGCAATAGGGTGGTTTATAGTGGCGTTTTTCCAACAAACGCTACAATGAATAATACTTTTGCGTCGTTTTTAAACAAACGCCATAGAAGGGTTAATCAATAGCGACGTTTATTGTTAAAATGTCATAATAGAGAATAAATTTTGCGGCGTTTTAACCCAAACGCCGTAATATAGTGGTAATTTAGTGGCATTTATACCACAAATGTCACAATAGAGTGGTAAATTAGCGGCGTTTATAACTCAAACGCCGAAAGGGGATAATACTTTTTGCGTAATGTTTAGACAAACACCACAGAAGGGTTAATCAATAGTGGCGTTTATTGTAAAAACGCCGCAATAGAGATGAAATTTTGTGGCATTTTAGCCCAAATGCCCTAATATAGTAGTAATTTAGCGGCGTTTATACCACAAACCGAAAGGGGATAATACTTTTTTGCGTAATGTTTAGACAAACACCACAGAAGGGTTAATCAATAGTGGCGTTTATTGTAAAAACGCCGCAATAGAGATGAAATTTTGTGGCATTTTAGCCCAAATGCCCTAATATAGTAGTAATTTAGCGGCGTTTATACCACAAACGTCATAATAAATAATACTTTACCTTCGTTTTTAGACAAATGCCACAATAGTGTTAATCAATAGTGGCATTTTTTTAATAAACGCTGTAAAATGTTAAATATATGGTCCTCCCTTTTCTCCTCCCTGAACCCTAAAATCATTTCAACTACTCCACTCAAAGCTTCTTCTCTGGTACAATAACACGCTGAGTATGATTCCAAGCGACGTCGTCTTTTGTATGTCCCGACGACCAAATCAGCCCTCTGACCAACGAACTATAACACAATTGCATGGTTTGATCCCTCTTATCACTAATGATATTTTTCATTTTTGTTTTTGTTGGTATTCTGAAAATGGAGAAAACCCAGAAAGCTAACGTATTGGAGAAAAAAAGGAGCAGGTGTTGCCTTGTGTAAGAGAAATTATCGTAGGAATGTCTACGTGTCGTATTTGCTCTAACGATGGATCAAATTATTGTTGGGAGGCTATCAGTCCAGTCTCGCCGTTGAAACTCGATGATGATCCGAAAGGAACTCCTATTGCTCCATACCATTCCATGGCCGATATCCTACTTGAAGGTAATAATCTATGAATCTTTAAGCCGATATATTTTGTTTTTCTATGGTCACTCAAATTTCATAGATCGTACGCATGTAGGATCTTCGAAGCTTATTGAGAACGATGATAGAGTAGTGGAGAAATACCCAATGTTTAGAATCTTCAATTGAAAAATTGCAAAGCGTATCTATCCTCAATGAAGACGACGTTGCCTCTACTGTTACTCCAAGTAAACGTTTATATCATCTATTTAAATTTATTTTAATGTTTAATTCAGTTCCCAATCCACCTCCAATCACATTTTTTGTAGGTGGAAGATCGTTATTTGTTTCAAGTGAAGCACTGAAGAGCGCAAGGAGTCTTCTTGGTGAACCGGAGGTAGGAGATTTATTTGGTGAAATGGATGAAGAGTTTCTCCATATAGAGTTTACACAAAGGAAAAACTTAATGATACGTCGTCAAACAAGGAAAACAACTTTCCTACGTCATTTCCCCACGAATGAGCAGAACTAAATTCTACTGAACAATATGGTGAAGACTGTTTATGCATAAGTTTAATGTTTCTAAATTGTAATGTATTTTGTTGTTAAGTATTTTTATGCATAACTTATGTCTTAATTAAAATGTATGGTTGTTGTTAATATGTAAAATCAACAAATGTTTCTCCATATATTGTTTCTACATATATCAGTCAATTTAGTTGATGTACAACAGAAATGAAATATGTAAAATCAAGTAATATTATCTAACTAAAAGGTAAGTAGCGGCATTTGTATCCAGAAACATCGCTAAAGATCTGACAATTTGCGACGTTTGTATCCAAAAACGCCGCTAAAGAGTAATACTTTAGTGGCGTTTTTGAAACAAACACCATAAAATGGTTGTATATTGAAATTTATAGTGACATTTTTTAATCAAACGCCGCGAAATACTCTTAATTTAGTGGCATTTATTACCAAATGTCGCTAAAAAATTGTACTTTAGTGGCGTTTTTGACATAAACGCCGCAATAGAATTGTATATCGTCATTTATAAGGGTATTTTTTTAAGCAAATGCTGTAAAATACTCTGAATTTTGTGGCGTTTGGTAACAAACGCCGCAATAGTGTGTCCCTTAGTGGCGTTTTCGTAATAAACACTGCAATAGAATGGTTCCTTTGCGGTGTTTTTAATATAAACGTCGCAATTGTCCTCTAATTTATCAGATATCCCCAATTCTGCAGCCCAAATCTCTTATTTGTCTTATCCCCAAATCTTCTTCCTCAAATTAGCAGTGCATACTTGATAACAAACGGTTAATATATACAACATCTTCTCTTCATTTTCCCACTCCACTTCC